AAGTATAAGGCTGTCAGATGCCTCCCTCCTAACCCAGGACACACACTCACAGGGGGCTCAGCTGACTTGTGAGGGCTCATCAGCGTCAAGAGATGTTTTTTGGTGGTTGGTTTGTTTTTTTTTTTTTTAATTAACTCCGTAGGAACGCGATGTAGCTTGTGGGTTGTGTGTGTGAGAACCCAAAATGACGGTGGAAAAAAAGAAAAAGTGTCTGTGTTCCAAAAAAATAAGTGCTATCGGGCCTTTCTTAGGCTTGCGCCTCAGAAGCTGTCTTGTAGAGTGTGAGGATCATAAGATATTGAGAAAAGACTTTCGATTCCCGCAAGGTCTGAGAAAACAACTTCTTTCTTCTGGTGTCAAGGTGGGGTCCATGTCAGGCCGCTGGGGATGGGCAGGGGATGTTCCGTTTAGTGAGGCTGAGGGGATCATGGTGAACCACAGATACGAGTTTCTGACCAACCGTGTGTATTTCAGACTGCTTTTTAAAAAATTCAACACCTAGCCAGGTGCAGTGGCTCATACCTCTCATCCTAACTACTCAGGAAACTAAGGCAGGAGGACAGGAGTTTGAGATCAGCCTGGGCAATGTAGTGAGATCCCACCTCTAAAAAAATAAATAAAAACTTAGCTGGGCATAGTGGTGCATACCTGTGGTCCCTGCTACTCAGGAGACTGAGGCAGGAGGATCGCTTGAGCCCAGGAGTTTGAGGTTACAGTGAGCTGTGATTGTGCCACTGCACTCTGGGTGACAGAGTGAGACCCCATCTCTAAAAGAAACACACACAGATTCGGCACATATTTGGTCCATCATTCATTACCTTAACCATGTTAACTTTGTTGCCTTATACAACCTAACACTTCCTAAATGTTGGGAGCTTATAGTTTTTGGAAAATGCTTGCATCTGAAATTTTACAGATTTTGAGGTGCAGTGGAACATAAGTCCATTTTGTTTTATTTTATTTATTTATTTTGAGACGGAATTATGCTCTTTTTTGCCCAGCCTGGAGTGAAGTGGTGTGATCTTGGCTCACTGCAGCCTCCACCCCCTGAGTTCAAGGGATTCTCCTGCCTCAGCCTCCCAAATAGCTGGGATTTCAGGCACCTGCCACCATGCCTGGCTGATTTTTGTATTCTTAGTAGAGATGAGGTTTCGCCATGTTGGCCAGGCTGGTCTTGAACTCCTGACCTCAGGTGATCCACCTGCCTTGGCCTCCCGAAGTGCTAGGATTACAGACATGAGCCACCACACCCAGCCAGGACAAGTCCATTTTAGTGTATTCATTTAAGCGATGTCCCCAAGGTGAGTCCAGTTCAGCCCAACGCCAGGGGTTTTTGCATGGACAGTCTTCATTGTTGAAGTGGACGTCCTCTTCCCCTGAAGCCTACTGTTAGAGACAGCTCCCCCTACCCTCACTGGCGATGTGCTGTTTACTCCTTCCCTTTCTTTGGACTTGCAGGGTTTCTATGTTGCACTGAGACTGGTGGCCTGTGCGCAGAGTGGCCATGAAGTTACCTTGAGCAATCTGAATTTGAGCATGCCGCCACCTAAATTTGTGAGTGTCCGAAGTCCTTCAAGTTCACATTCTTCTAATACCAGATGTGTGTGCGTGTGTATGTGCATGTGTGTATTTGCGTGTATATCTCCATGTTTTCTCTAGCCTTCCCCTTTTATTGTGGTGAAATTCACATAATAGAAAATTAATAATTTTAAAGTGAACTGTTCAGTGGCATTTAGTACATTTACAGCGTTGTGCAGTCATTGCCTCTGTCTAGCTCCAGAACATTTTCATCCCCCCACAAGGAGACCCCATCCACATTAAGTAATCACTCCTTGTCTCTCACTCCCAGTCGCTGGCAACCACTAATTTTATTTCTGTCAGTGGATTTGCCTGTTCTGGACATTTCATGTCAATGGAATTCTCTAACATGGTCTTTTGTGTCTGGCCTCTCTCTCTCTCAGCATCGTGTTTTCAGGGCTCATCCATGTTGTAGAATGGATCAGTGTTTCCATATTCCATTTAGTGGATGGACCACATCTTTATCCACTCATCTCTCTGTGGACATGTGGGTTATTTCCACCTTTTTGACTGTTGTGAATAGTGCTGCTGCGAGCATTCATGTACAAGGATTTGTTTGGACAACCGTTTTTAATTCATTTGAGTCAATACATAGGAGTGGAATTGCTGGGTCATGTGATGATTCTGTGTTTAACTTTTTGAAGTCTTCCCTTTTTTGAAAGCACTTTGAAACGTGTATCCTTTTCAGCAAACCCACCCACCTATGATTTAATTCTGTGCCAGCCACAAAGGAATGTTTCTCTCTCTTCTCAGCACGACACCAGCAGCCCTCTGATGGTCACACCGCCCTCTGCAGAGGCCCACTGGGCTGTGAGGGTAAGTGAACGGGAATAGGTCCCTCCTTGGCTCTCCTTCAGATAGAATTGTTCCAGCAGTTGTTCTAGAATTGTTCTGGAATTGTTCTAGTTTGATGTTGTTCAGAACATTTTATAGGATGATTGTGTCAGCTCTTCTGTCTCAGTGTGAATGTCCACAGCACTCGGATGAAACGCCTCTTCTGAACACCTTTTACAAAGGCTATGGCCCTTCACTGGAATTGGGAGTTGCCTATCGGGACAACTAAGTGTCAGGAATTGGATTATTAAAGGACTGCAGTTTAAATCTTGCATCTTTAGGTCACATTCTGTGGTTTTTGCTGCTTGTGTTGGTTATTCAGAATAGAAGAGGAAACGGTGAGAGCTTGCAAGCACGTGGACCCCCAAATGTGTTCCTTGCTTTCTCGCTTCTTTCCAGCCACTTTGCATGTTACTATTCTTTCCTCCCTGATGTTCTGATTGCTTTGTGAACAGCCTCTCTCAGCACTTGAAGTGTTATTTTTAAAACAGAGGATGTTGTGGCTGGAAAGATATGCTACTGCTTCCAGAAAGACGAAAAAAAATGAGGGCTGTCTTCTAAGTACAGAATTCCTTCTAAAGGAAGTGAGCATGGTCCCTCCGGATAATGTGAGGCCTCCTCACCTTCCCTTCACTTTCAGACTGTCACATTTCCTCACGTTTGTGTGGCTTAAATCCTGACATGAATAACACTTGCTATCAAGCAAAGGTCCCAAGTACTTGTGTCCCATGTTTACACGGTTGGTTTGTTCCCTTCTTGGAGAGGTCATGGGTTGGGTAGGGGGCATCTGTGCAGGGAGAGGACATGAAGATGTGTCATGTGACCAAGGAGTCATGCAGTCACCTCTGTCATCGAGCACTTTGCCAGTGGCAGTCACTGTGGTGAAGGGTTTCTCCTTGTCATCCAGCGCGTTGTGTGGACTTTGAAACAGAGCTACTTTGTCATGGGAAACACTGCCAAGAGATCTTATTATTTAAAATGTGATGGCTCTTTTCCAGCAGGGGTTATGTCCAGGCCTCATTAGAAGAGCTGGGACTGAGGGGCCTGGGGACCTTGCAGAGAGGAGTCAGGGAGTGCAGGACCAGGCGCCGTAATTGGGGTGGATTATGGTCAAGAGAGATTGTGCATTCCATTCACAGCCACAGTCAGAAAGAACAAGCCCGAAGTGCCAAGTGTTTGTTTCCGTTGTGAACATTCCTGGGCTTCTGAAGGCACTGAGTCAGCAAGTCTGATGGCCGGGAGAGGATCTCAGGCCCCCGAGACAGACCTGCAGCACTCAGCTTCTTAGCACCAACAGCCGTGAGAGCATGCGGTGTCTGCCGGTGATCTCATCTCTGTGACTGAGGGCACTGTCTTGGTTTTTCTCTTTTAAAAATTAAAAGGTTTTTATTGTGGCTGAAAGACACATCACATAACATTTACCATCTTAACCATTTCTAAGTGTACAGTTCAGGAATGTTAAATATATTCATGTTGTACAGCCATCACCACCGTCCATCTCCAGAACTTTCTCATCCTCCCAGACTGAAACTCTATACCTGAACCTCCCACTCCCTCAACCCCTGGCACCCATCATTCTGCTTTCTGTCTCCATGGATATGCCTAGGGAGGAGGGGACCTCCTGTGAGTAGCATCATGCGGTATTTGTTTTTTGTTATTTTTGAGATGGAGTCTTACTCTGTTGCCCAGGCTGGAGTGCAGTGATGCGATCTCAGCTCACTGTAATCTCCGCCCCCCGGTTCAGGTGATTCTCCTGCCTCAGCCTCCTGAGTAGCTGGTACTACAGGCACGTGCCACCATGCATAGCTAATTTTTGTATTTTTAGTAGGGGTGGAGTTTCACCATGTTGGCCAGGCTGGTCTTGAACTCCTGACCTCAAGTGATCTGCCCACCTTGGCCTTCCAGAGTGCTGGGATTACAAGCGTGAGCCACTGCGCCTGGCCTAGTTTTGTTTTTGTTTTTGTTTTTTATTTTTAGAGATGGGGTCTCACCATGCTGCCCAGGTCAGTCTCAAACTCCTGGGCTCAAGTGAACCCCCTACCTTGGCCTCCCAAAGTGCTAGGATTACAGGCATGAGCCACTGTGCCAGCCTCATACAGTATTTGTATTTTGTGTGTGGCTGGTTTATTTGAATTAGCATGCTGTCCTCAGGGTTTGTCCACATTGTAGCGTGTGTCAGAACTCACTTCCTTTTTGTGGTTGAGGGATGTTCCACTGTCTGGATCTACCTCGCTTTGTGTATGCATTCATCTGTCAATGGACACGTGTTGAGGGTGTTTTCTTAGTGCTCCCAATAGCTCCAGTGTGTGGCCAAGCAGGTTGCGAGAGGCCTGCTCTCCCTGAGTCCCACTCGTTGTGGACCTCCTTTCCTTTGGAGAACGGAACAGACTGGAAGCCGCTGCCTCACTCGTGGCCTGTTTTACAGGCTGCCTGCACTGTGTCTTTCAGAACAGCAGGAACTGCAACTCCGCATCGTAATGCCGCACCTTCCCTTTGTTCATGAAGAGCTATTCCTATTTATGTATTAATTTATTTACCATTAGAAATGGAGGGCTTCCTGTATATGGCCGGGCTTGGTGGCTTACGCCTGTAATCCCAGCACTTTGGGAGGCCGAGGCAAGCGGATCACTTGAGGCCAGGAGTTCAAGACCAACCCGGCCATCATGGTGAAACCCCATCTCTACAAAAAATACAAAAATTAGCCGGGTGTGGTGGCGCATGCCTGTGATCCCAGCTACTCGGGAGGCTGAGGCATGAGAATTGCTTGAACCTAGGAGTCGGAGGTTGCAGTGAGCTGAGACTGCGCCACTACACTCCAGCCTGGGCAACAGAGCGAGAGTTTTGTCTCAAAAAAAAAAAGAAAAAGTAAAAAGAAAAGAAACAAAAAAACCAGAGGGCTTCCTGTACTTATTTAAAGTTGATTTTGATAATTATTTGCTCAAGCAATAACATCTGCTCACACTTTTGTCTTTTTGGTACAAGTGGGCTCCTTGGAGGAAGGTGAGACTGATCTGTGTTTCCCTGCAAAGACACTGCCCCAACATGGGAGACTCCTGCCCCACTCAGGCAGCAACTAGGACGAAGGACAAGACCCAGGGCCAGGGCTTCCCTCCTGAGGACCTTGGCTTCCAGATCTGAGGTTGCCATAATGCTATTTCCTTCAGGGCATATGTTCACTTTGGAAGGGGCCAAGACAGTTCTAAGATCATTTTGTGCTTTTAGCCAAAGGTGATGATGGGTCCATGGCCATTTTCACTCGGCTTTCAGTCAGAGCTCGGTCTGGACACTCACACAGGTGTGCTCTCCTACTTACTCAGGCTATTTCTTTCCAACTAGGTGGAAGAAAAGGCCAAATTTGATGGGATTTTTGAAAGCCTCTTGCCCATCAATGGTTTGCTCTCTGGAGACAAAGTCAAGCCAGTCCTCATGAACTCAAAGCTGCCTCTTGATGTCCTGGGCCGGGTAAGTGGGCCATGGGCTTGGTTCTTCCGCACTCGGTGTCCCTGCTGTGTATGGGCGCCACTGTTCTCTTTCCCCACGGTGCTTACGAGGCTCTTGCTCTGTTTTCTCCCTGTGCCGTCAGGGGCTTCATCAGCGCTCCTGTGGGTCCAGCCCTGGCTGGCTCAGGGCTTCCTAGGGCGTGGCTTACAGTGTTTACCCAGCCCCTGGGGAGGGTGCTAGAATCCTTACACTTCACAGATGAGGAGGTGGACTCAGAAGTGAAATTGCTGCCTGGGGCTTCGGGACCAGTAGAGCTTAATCTTAAGCTCCCCAGCCTGGGCTTTCCCCCTTTCCATTGTGCTGAATGTGGGAATGTGTGTGTATCTTTTTATTTATTTATTTATTTATGAGACAGAGTCTTGCTCTGTCGCCTAGGCTGGAGTACAGTGGCGCCATCTCGGCTCACTGCAACCTCTGCCACCCTGGTTCAATCTTTTCTCATGCCTCAGCCTCCCGAGTAGCTGGGATTACAAGTGCATGCCACCACGCTCTGCTAATTTTTGTTTTTATAGTAGAGATGGGGTTTTACTGTGTTGGCCAGACTGGTCTTGAACTCCTGATCTCGTGATTCACCTGCCTCGGCCTCCCAAAGTGCTGGGATTACAGGCGTGAGCCTCCACACCCCGCCTTTTTTATTTCTTTTTTGAGTTTTTAGAGATGGGGTCTCACTATGTTGCCCAGGCTGGTCTCCAACTGCCAGGCTGAAGCCATCCTCCACCTCAGCCTCTCTAGTAGCTGAGACTGCAAGTGCATACCACCATGCCTGGCTCTTTTCTACTGTTAATTACTCTTTTCTTCTTGTAAAGCTCAAGGTAAAAGTATTTTCAACTCTGCTGCAAATTTAGGAAAAATTGTATGCATTTTCTTTAAAAAAAAAAGTCTTAGCCTGGTGGCGTGGCTGCTCAAGGCTGTAATTCCCAGCACTTTGGGAGCCGAGACGGGCAGATCACGAGGTCAGGAGATCTGAGACATCTGGGCTGACACGGTGAATCCCCGTCTCTACTAAAAATACAAAAACTTAGCCGGGCGATGGTGGCGGGCGCTGTAGTCCCAGCTACTTGGGTAGAGAGATAAATAAGGGATGGTGTGATCAGATTCCAGATTTGAATCAGGAGAAAAAATATGGAATAATTGTGAGTATGATTGAAGAGAAGTAGGTATATGGAGAGCGTGTGCTTAGCATATACGGCGCTCGAAGAATCCTCCTCATGGGTTTACACGCAATGCTTGCATTCACAAGACCTCGTGGGCCACTGCACTCCAGCCTGGGGGTGAATCAGGAGCATAGCGGACTTGTAGACAACGACTCTCGCAGTTTTACACACAATAACAAATAAATACATAGAGAAAGTATTGATAGGATGCAGATAGACATAACAGATATACCCAGCACTTATGCCTGTGATTACAAAGGACTGCATGTGTTTCACTGTTAAAAAGGACAAGGCTCATTATTATTGTAGAGGTTTGCAGTGGGTGGATAAATGAGTCAGGAGTTTGAGAACAGGGGCGTGTGTGAGGAAAGACCAAGCATGGAGATGACAAGCTCCAGTGAAAAATGTAATACATACTACTAAAAGAAAATACTATAAAATAGGTCCGGACCAGACAGTAAGCACGAAAATAATAAAATACAGAATTAAAGGCATAGAGTGTCAGATGGTCTCTCAGACCTCAAGATTAAGAATACCAGATCATGAGAAGGGGACTGAAAGACAGCATTTTGGCAGCAGTAACAACAAAACCAAGAGGTGGCTCCCACAGTCCTGTGAGGTGCCAAGTAACAAGACTCTTAGTGTGTGTTAGATAAAACCACGAGACCAGTCCGAAGAACTGTGTGAATCATGAGGAAAAATAGGAATGGTGCTACAGAAGACGATCGCTTATGAGAAGAGACCAATCCTTGTAGACATCTATAATCGCTCCTGAGATAGTATAACCCCAGGTCTTATATATGTAGAGCTGAAAGACGATGAAAGCTATTAAAAAATGTACTCGCTATAAGTAAGATAAATATTATATATTGTAGATTCTAAGCGGGAGATTAGGGTTTTAAACAGAAGAAGGGAGTGCACAGATCGGGACTACTTGTGTAAGTTATGTTAAAAGATGTTTCGTAGCACTGTGAGTCGGTGAGACTGACGGCTCGTTAATGTTGTAAAGTAGATTATATATAAGCTATGGAACCTGGCAGACCAGTAGAAATGAGATCAGCTAGAGAGGTTGTTGTCGGACGGGCAGTCCAGGTGAAAAAATCGATGTGTGACTTGGACTTGGACTAATTTGGTAGCTGATGCTATACTTGTTAAAAAAAAAATCTTTAAAAGTGGTTGATTCAAGAGCTTTTAAAAGATAGAAGCTATAGGACTTATGTGATGGGCTTATATAAATGATTTGGGGGAAAAAATGGTGAGAAAACTGGTTAGGGTTTTCCAGAATTACTAAGATGGATAGATGGATGAGGAATCAGGGACATGGAAACATTTCCAATATTTTAGAGCCCCTGACAGAGCCAAGTGGAGATGACAAGTAGTTGTCGGACATAGTGTCCTCTGTAGTGATAGAGGGGAGGGCTCAGGCTATCCCCCTGAGAGATGTCTGTCACAAAGACTGGAGAGAGAG